ATTATTACAGGATCACTTACAAGCATTGTCTTTGGCGTGAAATCTGAGATGTAACTGAGCTGGGGTAAGTGACTGGTCCATTAAGACTGGAAGTACCCTGAGTGTTGCTGTAAGTCTTGGCATAAGAGACCGTCTGTCACAAAGATATGCTCACATGCATGATGAGAGAAATCAGAGTATCCAAGAGGGTTATTTGTGACTTCATGGTTAGGCTGTTACAATGTTGAGTTGACAATAATAAATTCATGAAATCCAAGTATAGAATTCACAGACAACTGGGGTTTGTGCCCTCATTCTTAATATAGGTTGAACCTCTCTGAACCAAGGCTCTCTGACTCAGCAACATCCCAGACCATGGATGGTCTAGGACCAGAGAATCCTGGTGGGAGGGCTGGTGACTGGGAACCCTGCAGGCCATCAGGGCAGTGAGCTACCAGCAGCAAGCTGCCTGGCAGGGCTGGAAGTTCAGTGCACCCCAGCAGGGCTTCCCTGTGGGTCCAAAAGTGGGGCAGGTGACAGGCTCCACCCCGCAGCTAGGCCAGGGCTGGGGAGGAGTGATGGCAGGGGGGACAGAAATTACTTCCCTTGGTCCAGTAAAATCCCTCACCCAGGAGAGTCAGAACCTTACAGTGCCGGACCAGGGAGGTCCAACCTGTAGTCTGCCCTGAGGCTGATAGGTATTCTTGCTCTTGAGTCAATGCAAGCAGCTTTATAATTGTTATTAAAGTTTAAAAGAAATTTCTTCTCTCTCCCCTCACCCATGATCTGCAGAAGAATTCGGGGTTAGATATAATAGGTGGGAAAAGTCTCAGTTCATAAGGATTCTGAGTATGAAATTAAATGGAATAAGAAATGAAAGAAAAAGATTTGTTGCAAAATTTTAGCTAATGCTACAGAAATAATAAAGTATTATCTTTTGTGTTCTCTGGGCACATGCTGCAATTTCCAAAAATATTGACCTACACTAAAACGAAGGCTCCATTAATAACTACCCTTTATAACTACCATCACATCAGCAATGCCAAAGTTAACATAACATCCCCATTCATCTCTTTTCTAGCTATCCTAGAGAATGCTAAGCAGGGAAGATACCCCCCTTCAATAGTTTGACACTGGTATTCTGACCAAGCTCATGAACAGAAAAGTCATCTATCAGCAAAACTCAAATAGGGAACATTTCCAAAAGTAGTCAACTAAGGGTATGTCTAGACTGCAGAGCTTTTTGAAAAGCTCTGCCATGTCCAAGGAATGCATTTGCTTTTCTGAAAAAAATGTCGGAAAAGCAGACGCGTTTTGTCAGCATCCTCATAAACCTCATTTCACAAGGAAGAAGGGATGTTCTGTGCCAAATTTCAGAAAACCCTTTTTCGGAAGTAAATTGGGAAAAGATACCAATTGATTTCCAATTGATCTTTGTAGGCTAGATATAGCCTAAGTTGCACCTGCAAACTATGCACAAGTGCAAGCAAATATCTCTTTGCACACGTAGAAAGATATGTATAAAAATATAAAATATAAAAAGTGCTATTTGCATGCAAATTTGAAGGTGTTTGTACACACACAAAAATCCAGGTTTTATAAGCTAGATAGGTGACTATTTATGTAAATAGTATTTATTTTGAGGCTGCATTTTTAGGGGGGGGTACAGATCTGTGCCTGAAGCATTTGAGGGATTTTTGGATAATGACACATGAAATGGAAATAAATACTTTGTGACTTTCTATGGCATTTGAAAAAATCTAGTGTAATTTATTCATAGAAAAAGTCCTTTTCCCCAGATCATATGACCTGAATGCCTGAAAGAACAGTCGTACTTAGTCTGGATGACCTTGTGGTTTCCTCCTAGCCCTATGAAGTTCCTGTAAGGATCCTCCCCAATGTTGTTTACAATTCCATGTTCCTGCATCTTGCACTACTCACTTGGCTGGGTAATGCAAACACCAGAAGACGAAAAAAATGAGTTAGAACTCAGGGACACAGGCCTTTATGTAATGGAAATAGTCACATGAATAAAGTTAAAGTTAAGCATGCATGTTTTACAGTATCAGGATGTAAATAAAGGGAGAACTGTAACTTATCCCCTTGTCCTCACTCAGAAGAATAAGGCGGCTCTGGAGTTATACAATTAAGGATCTATCATTAGGGTCAGCATTAGGTGTGCCAGACAACAGTATTTTTCTGATTGAAAGCTTATTGTACAAGGTCAGGTGTTTTTAAATGAGGAAGAGTTTTCCCACTCCTTCCTTTTGGAGTTAAGTGCTGGAATTTTCTGGCAACTTAATTTGAATTAAAATGTTTCCTCTTTTGAACCTAAATGCAGTTCCCATGTGGCTTTATTTGGAGGTTGGGGTTCCTCCTTCTTAGAAGAGAAAGTGCAGAGATGATTTCATAGAGCACATTTACTGGATCCCTGTTTTTGACATAAGGATACCAAAGGAGCAGCCACACAGCATGGGCAGGGAGCATTTCCTGAGCAAGCAAGGGTACAATTGCAATTTTTCAGTTGTACAAGTGAAGAGAGAATAAAACCGTACAGAAAAGAGGGATGCTTCCATTTAGATACTATAGTTTAAAGAACTAATTTTACTGAAGCTGATTGTACCCGCAACTGAAAATGACTCTTGGCTTGCAAATGGCCAAGATTCTTTGCAATAGTGCTTGTAGTAAAATGGGGGACAAATGCCAGTATTATGACAACGTAGGAACTATACAAATAATAAAAATCAAACCTGTACAGCATAGTGAGTCTGGACCCTGACAACCTTATTTATACCTCCAAACTTTAATTTGGAATAACTTTATACAATTAACTATTTTTACTATAGTTACCCGCTAACCTCATTGGACAGATCATGCCACAGATTCCAAAAGAGGCACTTTTCCAAACAAAGAAGGATCTTTTTCATCCAACTTCCCATCTATACAATCTGCATATTTCAGTAACTTCAGAGAAAAACCAAAGAGTAAGATAAATATGTAACAACAAACTTATAGGACCTGACCCAACTCCTAAAGAAGACATTGAAAGTCCTTCAGTTTACTTCAATAGAAGCCAGACTGGACCCATAATGATCTTTCACAGTTGTAATCCTCAACCTCCAATGCTCTCTTGCCTGTCACATCGATTGCTATACAACAACCAATTTGAACTGAGTTCCTCAAGGAATTGCTTGCCATTTTTATTAGATTGTAAGGTATGTCTATGGTGCTGTCTGGATTAAATAAATCAGATTAATGGGCTTCTGGAAAAACACCAGAACAGATCCTGACCTGGAGTAAAGTGTTGACTTCAGTTTACACCATCTGAGGATTTGTCCCACAGAGCATTTCGATAAACTCACTCACTAAGCCTTTGGAACAGACTGTTGATTTTAAGTCGGAAAGTGCCAGCAAACTGAGTGGCACCCCCATGTTCTCCAAACCTGTCAGAATGCTTATGTTGATTTTCAGCCCCATCTACCAGGTCTTAAAGTGCAGCACAAATTTGCTTATGCAGATTTCCTGTCTAACTACTCCTGCAAAAAAAAAAATTTTTTCACATGCTCCAGGATCTTCAAGTTAGCCTGGTGAACACTGTGAACCCTGCTGGCTTGCAATTTTTGTTTTGCATCCTCAGGGGCCATTTAGTTTCTGTAACAGCAGCTCCTCCCCTCTGTGTGTGCATTTGTGTGTGTTTCCAGCTTGACACAGTATCTCCATCTCATTAGCACTGAATGTAATCATTAGTCAAGTGCCCCTTCTTCAGTTCCAGTTTTGTTGTGCCTGGGTAAGCTTAGTTCCCTATAAAGTAAGGTAAATATTACCATGTCTGGACCACGGTCTCAGAGGAAAGTGAGAAGGGGAAGCTACAACAGCAACATTACTACAAAGAATCTGGTGAGTACAAGAGAATCTGCTCTGAAACGTCTGTGTACTGTGTATATTACCCGGAACATAAATATTAGATCATAAAAAGACAGGAGGAGAGAAACATATCTTTCCTAGCCAAAAAACCCCACAAACTGTTCATTGAGATCATTTAAAAAAGTAATTATTGCTGTGGTGGGTTGTGACAGAATAAATACTGAGAGTTACATGTGGATCTTCAAATATGACTAAATTGTTTTCATTAATGGTAAAATGCCATTTTTATTATATGACTCTGAAGATACCCTTTCTACTGCTCCTTATTTTGTACTATATGGCTCAGTGTTGTGTACAGATATAGCAGAGTTATGCGTTGGTTACTGGATTATAAAACCTTCTTTCATTTAAATAAAAAGCCATATAAGTCAGGTGTCTATACATTTGCATTGTCAGTGCTATCGCTCACGGCTTCTCAGAAGATAGGAGGCTTTCAGTGTAAAATGTAAAGTTCATATTTGTTTATTCTGCAAACAACACTAGGGTTGATAGCTCAAGCAGGCAAACAGCTTGTGGAGTAATAGCACCCTGGAAAAATCATATGCAATGGAAAACTTATTTGTTAATTTAAAGCAAGGGGGTTGTTTGTTTTTCTTTAACTAGACATGCTATAAAACATTTTGTTGTAAGAAAAGCCTATCGTTGTGTTCAACATGATGACTTAATGTTAGCACAGAGCAACATCACTTGGGTCTGGAATCAGGAGCAGACCTGTAATTCCCAAGGGGTGTCTCAGCTGCAGCATAAGCTGTTCTCTCAGTAAATATAAGGGGTCTATTACAGAGATTCATAGATTTTTAAGGCCTGAAGGGACCATTAGCTCATCTAGTCTGACCTTGACTAGAGTGAGGCAGCTTCTGGGAAAACAAAGACAATTACCAGGAACTAGATCTGTGCACTAAATCACAGCATTTCATCAGAAATGAGCACCACGTACAAAATCAAAAATTTGTTGACTTCTAAAAGTAAACAAACGCTTTCTTTAAAAAATGTCTGTCACTCAGAAATAAATTAGTGGCAGCTGCACTGATGACATACATGCATACAGTGTTAGCCTTTACAGAGATTTTCTGATATTATCTCACTAGAACACTTACCTGGTGTTGCTTGGGTCCTTTGGGGCAAGAGGCTGGAAGTGTGGGGAGGTGCAAGTGTCAGGACAGAATTCTTTATATAGATTATTACAGGATCACTTACAAGCATTGTCTTTGGCGTGAAATCTGAGATGTAACTGAGCTGGGGTAAGTGACTGGTCCATTAAGACTGGAAGTACCCTGAGTGTTGCTGTAAGTCTTGGCATAAGAGACCGTCTGTCACAAAGATATGCTCACATGCATGATGAGAGAAATCAGAGTATCCAAGAGGGTTATTTGTGACTTCATGGTTAGGCTGTTACAATGTTGAGTTGACAATAATAAATTCATGAAATCCAAGTATAGAATTCACAGACAACTGGGGTTTGTGCCCTCATTCTTAATATAGGTTGAACCTCTCTGAACCAAGGCTCTCTGACTCAGCAACATCCCAGACCATGGATGGTCTAGGACCAGAGAATCCTGGTGGGAGGGCTGGTGACTGGGAACCCTGCAGGCCATCAGGGCAGTGAGCTACCAGCAGCAAGCTGCCTGGCAGGGCTGGAAGTTCAGTGCACCCCAGCAGGGCTTCCCTGTGGGTCCAAAAGTGGGGCAGGTGACAGGCTCCACCCCGCAGCTAGGCCAGGGCTGGGGAGGAGTGATGGCAGGGGGGACAGAAATTACTTCCCTTGGTCCAGTAAAATCCCTCACCCAGGAGAGTCAGAACCTTACAGTGCCGGACCAGGGAGGTCCAACCTGTAGTCTGCCCTGAGGCTGATAGGTATTCTTGCTCTTGAGTCAATGCAAGCAGCTTTATAATTGTTATTAAAGTTTAAAAGAAATTTCTTCTCTCTCCCCTCACCCATGATCTGCAGAAGAATTCGGGGTTAGATATAATAGGTGGGAAAAGTCTCAGTTCATAAGGATTCTGAGTATGAAATTAAATGGAATAAGAAATGAAAGAAAAAGATTTGTTGCAAAATTTTAGCTAATGCTACAGAAATAATAAAGTATTATCTTTTGTGTTCTCTGGGCACATGCTGCAATTTCCAAAAATATTGACCTACACTAAAACGAAGGCTCCATTAATAACTACCCTTTATAACTACCATCACATCAGCAATGCCAAAGTTAACATAACATCCCCATTCATCTCTTTTCTAGCTATCCTAGAGAATGCTAAGCAGGGAAGATACCCCCCTTCAATAGTTTGACACTGGTATTCTGACCAAGCTCATGAACAGAAAAGTCATCTATCAGCAAAACTCAAATAGGGAACATTTCCAAAAGTAGTCAACTAAGGGTATGTCTAGACTGCAGAGCTTTTTGAAAAGCTCTGCCATGTCCAAGGAATGCATTTGCTTTTCTGAAAAAAATGTCGGAAAAGCAGACGCGTTTTGTCAGCATCCTCATAAACCTCATTTCACAAGGAAGAAGGGATGTTCTGTGCCAAATTTCAGAAAACCCTTTTTCGGAAGTAAATTGGGAAAAGATACCAATTGATTTCCAATTGATCTTTGTAGGCTAGATATAGCCTAAGTTGCACCTGCAAACTATGCACAAGTGCAAGCAAATATCTCTTTGCACACGTAGAAAGATATGTATAAAAATATAAAATATAAAAAGTGCTATTTGCATGCAAATTTGAAGGTGTTTGTACACACACAAAAATCCAGGTTTTATAAGCTAGATAGGTGACTATTTATGTAAATAGTATTTATTTTGAGGCTGCATTTTTAGGGGGGGGTACAGATCTGTGCCTGAAGCATTTGAGGGATTTTTGGATAATGACACATGAAATGGAAATAAATACTTTGTGACTTTCTATGGCATTTGAAAAAATCTAGTGTAATTTATTCATAGAAAAAGTCCTTTTCCCCAGATCATATGACCTGAATGCCTGAAAGAACAGTCGTACTTAGTCTGGATGACCTTGTGGTTTCCTCCTAGCCCTATGAAGTTCCTGTAAGGATCCTCCCCAATGTTGTTTACAATTCCATGTTCCTGCATCTTGCACTACTCACTTGGCTGGGTAATGCAAACACCAGAAGACGAAAAAAATGAGTTAGAACTCAGGGACACAGGCCTTTATGTAATGGAAATAGTCACATGAATAAAGTTAAAGTTAAGCATGCATGTTTTACAGTATCAGGATGTAAATAAAGGGAGAACTGTAACTTATCCCCTTGTCCTCACTCAGAAGAATAAGGCGGCTCTGGAGTTATACAATTAAGGATCTATCATTAGGGTCAGCATTAGGTGTGCCAGACAACAGTATTTTTCTGATTGAAAGCTTATTGTACAAGGTCAGGTGTTTTTAAATGAGGAAGAGTTTTCCCACTCCTTCCTTTTGGAGTTAAGTGCTGGAATTTTCTGGCAACTTAATTTGAATTAAAATGTTTCCTCTTTTGAACCTAAATGCAGTTCCCATGTGGCTTTATTTGGAGGTTGGGGTTCCTCCTTCTTAGAAGAGAAAGTGCAGAGATGATTTCATAGAGCACATTTACTGGATCCCTGTTTTTGACATAAGGATACCAAAGGAGCAGCCACACAGCATGGGCAGGGAGCATTTCCTGAGCAAGCAAGGGTACAATTGCAATTTTTCAGTTGTACAAGTGAAGAGAGAATAAAACCGTACAGAAAAGAGGGATGCTTCCATTTAGATACTATAGTTTAAAGAACTAATTTTACTGAAGCTGATTGTACCCGCAACTGAAAATGACTCTTGGCTTGCAAATGGCCAAGATTCTTTGCAATAGTGCTTGTAGTAAAATGGGGGACAAATGCCAGTATTATGACAACGTAGGAACTATACAAATAATAAAAATCAAACCTGTACAGCATAGTGAGTCTGGACCCTGACAACCTTATTTATACCTCCAAACTTTAATTTGGAATAACTTTATACAATTAACTATTTTTACTATAGTTACCCGCTAACCTCATTGGACAGATCATGCCACAGATTCCAAAAGAGGCACTTTTCCAAACAAAGAAGGATCTTTTTCATCCAACTTCCCATCTATACAATCTGCATATTTCAGTAACTTCAGAGAAAAACCAAAGAGTAAGATAAATATGTAACAACAAACTTATAGGACCTGACCCAACTCCTAAAGAAGACATTGAAAGTCCTTCAGTTTACTTCAATAGAAGCCAGACTGGACCCATAATGATCTTTCACAGTTGTAATCCTCAACCTCCAATGCTCTCTTGCCTGTCACATCGATTGCTATACAACAACCAATTTGAACTGAGTTCCTCAAGGAATTGCTTGCCATTTTTATTAGATTGTAAGGTATGTCTATGGTGCTGTCTGGATTAAATAAATCAGATTAATGGGCTTCTGGAAAAACACCAGAACAGATCCTGACCTGGAGTAAAGTGTTGACTTCAGTTTACACCATCTGAGGATTTGTCCCACAGAGCATTTCGATAAACTCACTCACTAAGCCTTTGGAACAGACTGTTGATTTTAAGTCGGAAAGTGCCAGCAAACTGAGTGGCACCCCCATGTTCTCCAAACCTGTCAGAATGCTTATGTTGATTTTCAGCCCCATCTACCAGGTCTTAAAGTGCAGCACAAATTTGCTTATGCAGATTTCCTGTCTAACTACTCCTGCAAAAAAAAAAATTTTTTCACATGCTCCAGGATCTTCAAGTTAGCCTGGTGAACACTGTGAACCCTGCTGGCTTGCAATTTTTGTTTTGCATCCTCAGGGGCCATTTAGTTTCTGTAACAGCAGCTCCTCCCCTCTGTGTGTGCATTTGTGTGTGTTTCCAGCTTGACACAGTATCTCCATCTCATTAGCACTGAATGTAATCATTAGTCAAGTGCCCCTTCTTCAGTTCCAGTTTTGTTGTGCCTGGGTAAGCTTAGTTCCCTATAAAGTAAGGTAAATATTACCATGTCTGGACCACGGTCTCAGAGGAAAGTGAGAAGGGGAAGCTACAACAGCAACATTACTACAAAGAATCTGGTGAGTACAAGAGAATCTGCTCTGAAACGTCTGTGTACTGTGTATATTACCCGGAACATAAATATTAGATCATAAAAAGACAGGAGGAGAGAAACATATCTTTCCTAGCCAAAAAACCCCACAAACTGTTCATTGAGATCATTTAAAAAAGTAATTATTGCTGTGGTGGGTTGTGACAGAATAAATACTGAGAGTTACATGTGGATCTTCAAATATGACTAAATTGTTTTCATTAATGGTAAAATGCCATTTTTATTATATGACTCTGAAGATACCCTTTCTACTGCTCCTTATTTTGTACTATATGGCTCAGTGTTGTGTACAGATATAGCAGAGTTATGCGTTGGTTACTGGATTATAAAACCTTCTTTCATTTAAATAAAAAGCCATATAAGTCAGGTGTCTATACATTTGCATTGTCAGTGCTATCGCTCACGGCTTCTCAGAAGATAGGAGGCTTTCAGTGTAAAATGTAAAGTTCATATTTGTTTATTCTGCAAACAACACTAGGGTTGATAGCTCAAGCAGGCAAACAGCTTGTGGAGTAATAGCACCCTGGAAAAATCATATGCAATGGAAAACTTATTTGTTAATTTAAAGCAAGGGGGTTGTTTGTTTTTCTTTAACTAGACATGCTATAAAACATTTTGTTGTAAGAAAAGCCTATCGTTGTGTTCAACATGATGACTTAATGTTAGCACAGAGCAACATCACTTGGGTCTGGAATCAGGAGCAGACCTGTAATTCCCAAGGGGTGTCTCAGCTGCAGCATAAGCTGTTCTCTCAGTAAATATAAGGGGTCTATTACAGAGATTCATAGATTTTTAAGGCCTGAAGGGACCATTAGCTCATCTAGTCTGACCTTGACTAGAGTGAGGCAGCTTCTGGGAAAACAAAGACAATTACCAGGAACTAGATCTGTGCACTAAATCACAGCATTTCATCAGAAATGAGCACCACGTACAAAATCAAAAATTTGTTGACTTCTAAAAGTAAACAAACGCTTTCTTTAAAAAATGTCTGTCACTCAGAAATAAATTAGTGGCAGCTGCACTGATGACATACATGCATACAGTGTTAGCCTTTACAGAGATTTTCTGATATTATCTCACTAGAACACTTACCTGGTGTTGCTTGGGTCCTTTGGGGCAAGTGGCTGGAAGGGTGGGGAGGTGCAAGTGTCAGGACAGGGATAGGATGCAGGGGCTCAGGACAGGAGGCTGGGAGGTTTGAGGGTGCTAGGCAGGGGAGGATGCAGGATTCAGAATTGTGGGTGGGAACCTTAGGCCAGGGGCTGGGAGGTCTGGGGGGGAGCAGTTCACCAGGGCCATCCGTGATGGTGAAGACAGCGCTGTAGCTGCCGGACCCCCTCTCCCAGCTTCTGTGAGTCCACCCCACTGTGGTCACTATGCAGTATAATTGTCTCCTGCACTTGCTGCCTCCAGTGGTTATTGGAGAGCAAAACTGTCCCTGCTTTCAGCTTTCTCCCTTTCTGTGTTATGATTCTAGGCACATCCCATTTTCCTGGCACAACCAAACTCTGACCTTGCTTTAAGTTATGATAAGAGAAAGTTGTATACCAAATTTGGTGGTCCTAGCTGTTTCCGTTTAGAAGAAGTTCTTGAACAAAGAGGCCCACAGATGGACATGCAGAGGCACAAATCCTCTAAGATTAGATAGATAGAGATAGATATGCATCGGTGCTTCCAAATATGACAACAAAAACTAGGAATGGAGTTAGTTACATGCTAGCTGATCAGTCCTTTTGTTGCTGCTGCTCTTGAAAAGAAAGGCAGAAACTGCATAGGCAGAAATGAACATGTCACCAAGGAAAAGTCTTAGTTGAAAAAGGTAAGCATCTTTCACTCAATCTAAAAAGAAATTGTTTTGTTCAAAAGTTGTTTATGGAAAGTGTTTTTAACCAGAAATCCCCGACAGTCAATAAGGAGGCATCTTCTGGTTTGGTCATTTTCTTTAAAATGTTGTGAGGGTCTCGACTGAATTGCACTGCATTTACCAAGGTCATCCTTTGCATTAAATGTTCTTAAGTACAGACATTGCATAGCATAACCTATGGCAATAATAGTATTTAATAAGCTTTCCAAACACAGTTCAGCACACAGGTCCTAGAGCTTGCAGTTTATATATTCTGAAGTCCAAGTCACACAGGTATGATGCCGCTGGGCTGGTGCATCTATGACACAGCTCTCACAATCTTCAAAAAGCTTTTCTCTAAGGAGGGGTATGTCTACACTACCCTCCTAGTTCGAACTAGGAGAGTAATGTAGGCATACCGCACTTGCAAATGAAGCCCGGGATTTGAATTTCCCGGGCTTCATTTGCATAAGCGGGGAGCCGCCATTTTTAAATCCCCGCTGGTTCGAACCCCGTGTAGCACGGCTACACGGGGCTCGAACTAGGTAGTTCGGATTAGGATTCCTATTCCGAACTACCGGTACTAGTTTTTAGTTCTAGACGCGTTAGTTCGAATTAGCTTAGTTCGAATTAACTAATTCAAATTAACTAATTCAAACTAAGTTAGTTCGAACTAGCGCTGTAGTGTAGACGTACCCTGAGTGCTTTAACATTAATTCTGGTAGGCTTTGCCCATCACTAGCTAAGATTCTATGTAGGTGAAGTGACCAAAGATCATGATTAAAATTCTTAGAGGGGCAGCCATGTTAGTCTGTAACTAAAAAACCCAACAATGGTCCTGTAGCACCTTAGAGACCAACAAAAATATATAAATAGTATCATGAAGTGGGTTGTGCCCATGAAAGCTCATGATACTATTTATATATTTTTGTTATTCTCTAAGATGCTTCAGGACCATTGTTGTTTTTAAAGATCGTGATGTTCACTCTACGAATGGCACTAGCACTGACAGCTTCAGAGAGAAAAAAAAACTTCTTGGATTTAGTTATATCATTTTTACTTCCTTATAACATAAACAGAGGATAACAGCAAGCATGGAACTGGTGGGATGTAAATACTGTCCATAAAAGGAAGCTTTTAGACACTACTTTTGGAAGAGAGTTAGTAGTGTTGTAGTTGTGGTTACAGAATTGCATTTGGTTAATCTATCCAGCAGTGAATGGCCACACATCTGTTTTTCAGACTACTAGTCAAGAAATATTAGAAGCCAAAGCTATGAGCTCACGAATGAGCTGCTTGTTGTTTGACTTGCTTGCCACTTCCTTGACGTCATTATTTGGTAACACATGCATTAGTGCATTGAATGCACAGTGCAGTCTGTTGCTTTGCAATCTGAACAGTAAAAGGAGTTTTTCTAGTCTCTCTTAGATATTCCTATTCATATTACATTCAAGTAGTTTTCTGCATGCAGCTTGCCTCAGGGAAGCCTGATCATATGAGAAGTCAGCAGGTGGTTTCTAGAATTAAGACCGTCTGCAGCACACCTTGTTTAATGAAATGGCTTGCTGCCAAGGAATGGACCTGAAATTGACTCATTCAAATGTGACCCTTTTTATTTGGTATTATGTGTTGCTGTATCTCCAAACAGGGTTTTACCAGCTAAACTAAAAAGTGGTGGAGTTTAATTCTCTGTAAACACTGTTAGAATATATGTTTTGTAGAGTCTGAAGTGATTTATATTCAGGGCCGGCTCTAGGATTTTTGCTGCCCCAAGCAAACAAAATTTTAGCTGCCCTGCCCCCTCGCCCCCTTCTTGTTGGCTTTTACACATTTGCACTTCGCAATTTTGTTTGTTTTGTTTTGGTGACAGAGACAAGATTTCCAGCTCACACAAAGCTCTTTTTCAAGAGTGAGAAATGTACCTTAAATCTCTACTTTATTGTTCTTATAGAAATAGGCTACTTTTTAATTGTGGTTTGAATGCATGGAAAACTATTAACACAAATAGTTTATATTTCCTTAACTAAGTACCAAAAATAGAAGGGAGAACTTGTGCCACATCTAAAACTCAAGGGCTACGTCTACACTGGCACCCTTTTCCGGAAATGCTTAAAACGGAACAGTTTTCAGTTATAAGTATTTCCGGAAAAAGCGCATCTACATTGGCAGGATGCTTTTCCGGAAAAGCACTTTTTCCGGAAAAGCATCCGTGGCCAATGTAGACACGCTTTTCCGCAAAAAAGCCCCGATCGTCATTTTCGCGATCGGGGCTTTTTTGCAGAAAACACTACTGTGCTGTCTACACTGGCCCTTTTCCAGAACAGTTTTCCGGAAAAGGACTTTTGCCCGAATGGGAGCAGAATAGTTTTTCTGGAAAAGCACTGATGATTTTACAGTAGATCGTCAGTGCTTTTCCAGAAATTCAAGGGGCCAGAGTAGACAGCTGGCAAGTTATTCTGGAAAAGCGGCTGATTTTCCGGAATAATTAGCCAGTATAGACACAGCCAAGTAGTTTATGGCTATACTTAATCAATCTTCAAACCAATTACAATCAGCTAACAAAACCACTCTGTTTAACCATACTTGTCAACCAATTATGATATCTATAGCACATAAGACATCTAAACTACATCAATAAATAGTGGTATTGTTAAACTAGATTTGTTTTGGAATACAGTGGCTCCTTATGTGGCTCTAACACATCTATGTTATCAGAAACTGAGATCAGTGGGTGTGCATGTGCACATTATTTTTGTGTGTTCATCTTTTTAGTAGCCATTATATATTCAGGTTTATGAGGTGTTAGAGGGAGTGGAGAGTTATATGTGCCCAATACAACTATATATGGAATGAAGCTTGCCTTAGAGACATCAAACACAAAAGTTTACCCTGATCAACGAAGTTTAATTCTTTAAAGAAATATCTATGAAACAGCATGTGTGGTTCTTTGAAGAGTGTAGAACAGTTAATATTCTGTGTGTGTGTGTGTGTGTGTGTGTCTGTGTGTGTGCTGGATCCTTATTTGGTTCTACTTATACTACAAACATGAACAAGAGAAATATACTAGGAACAGACTTCAAAGGGTCCGTGGTGCTGAGGCTTTCGGGGGCTGGGGGGAGAGGCCG